AGGGGAAATTTTAGAAACAGAAGCAGATCAGAATGTTTACATTTCTTCATATATACAAAGCAGAATTACTTTGCTTTCGGGAACCTCTCTCATTAACCCAGATATTCCCAATTAACCTGCTCAGTTTTGCTGTAGCAGGAATACCTACCAAAAATAAGGATGAAAGCTGTGAGTAAGGCTGCTGGCAGTGATTTTGACAGTTCCAACACCGTGAGGTAGGCAAAAGGAACCAGGCAGGAGCCAAGGAATGCACAGAACTGCAGGAAAAGATGATCATGGAACAAGTTAGTAACCCTTCCCAAGGTGAACATGCACCCATACCCTTTCCCTTCCTTCATCTTCCACATTTACCAACAACAGGAGGTATTGCGGTAGCTGAACATCAGACAAAAGCCAAATGAACAAAGATACTGTTCAGAGAAGGACAACTGTTTACTTTGTCCTGTCTCTAGAGGTGTCAGTAACAACAGTCAGTCATTCTCTTGCTAGACCACACCAGATATTCACAAAAAGATAAGTAGGTGCACTACACATCCACCATACTCAACTTATTTTAACAAGATATTAGAACCTATGAACAAAATACCTCTGTACCTTACTAGTTGGAGGAAGAATAACAGAACTCTAAACAAAAGAAAGCAGTATCACAGTAAAATTTGTTCTCTTTAATGTCTGGTTCTAGCGCTTTTCCTACCTTTGGCTCAGGAAAATCTAGAACAACAAATTGCTGGAGACCTGGAAAGTAAACCAAGAAAATACGCCTTCCCAGTTTTTATCCTTCTTTCTAGGCACTAGCAGTTGGCCACTGTTTCTTTTTTCGGCTCATGTTATCTGCTGTCAATTTTATGGCTCTTAGTGTTTCTAGATAGCAGTGCAGCCAGGGTTTCAGATAGAATATCACTCTGAATAGTAATTGCCCCTCCCACACACTCCATCAGCTTACTCAGCTCAGTGTCACTGGTGGTGGCAAACTGCAGGTGGCAGTGGATGATCCTGCCTTTTTGACATCCTTGGCTCTCCAGCAGAGCAGCCAGGCACAATGGAGTGGGCAGAAGCCCAAGCTCAGCAACGTTCTCTTTGCAGAACAGATAAGATATCTGTCCCACTCAGGACTGTGGTTCTACAAATTAGCAGCAAGGGTTGGCCTCATTAATCACCTTACTTTCTTACCTGGCCTCTCACAGCCAGACATTAAGACTTATTCACAACACAACCACTAACACTTTTCTAAGGAGCTTAACGGCAAAGCACAAGGCTAGACAGACCTCTGATCAGCTCCAGGAGAGCTGTTCTTATGACATAACACTCTGTACCAAAAAGCACAGCAGAGCTAACCAGCTTAACACTGGCCTGTAGAGCCTTACCCCTCTCATTCCCACATAGTTGTGCTGCTCATATCTGTCCCCTGGCTTCTGGAAAGGAAATGTACCATCATATCCACTAAGGTAGCCGGCAAGTCCAATCAGCATCTGAAGAGGAAAGGTGAAAAAAATGGTCAGGGAAATCGCATTGGAGGAAGGAATATCCAAGCCAGCAGCAGGTAAGACTTTTATAGAAACGAGGTCTGATCCAGAGGATAACTACTTAATTCAGACACATCATCCAAACAAGAGTTTATGTACAGAATTCACACGCATACATATTCCCCTTGGTCTAAAGGCAAAATCAGAAGGGATTAAAAGAACTTTGGCTGCTGACTGTGAGGACAACTGCAAGCTCAAGAGAAACACCAGGTGTGAGATTCAGCAGAGAGAATTCTGTCTCTGTAGATCCTCCCATAGATCCCTATTCCTACAGTTTACGGAGGCTGAGCCTGAAAGGAAGGTAATCTTTCTGAGGCAGGAGGAGTGCACCTCCATCAACACTGCACACTGTTGCTAGAACAAGTACTTCGGTTACAGAATAGCAAGAGAAGGCTTTCATCAGGGTCCTTTGTGGCAGGACTCTGATGTACACACAAGCTATCAAGAACTGTTTGGCTTCTCCGAACTATAGGCTTCTACTACATATCCCCTCCAAACTACGTAAGCGCCATGTTCATTTTATAATGTCAAGCCTTTAAAATATCCAACATGCAATACTGTTTTGTTTTCCCATATTCAAAGTATTTTCATAAAGAAGGAAAGATACAAGTTGAGGCTCTGGATACAGAATGCAAATTACCATGATGCCAACAACAGTTAGGAAAAGTACTGGTGTTCATCACATCCTTCAGCCAGAAGGAAGGGCAAGACTGTTGCTGGCCCACTCCTGTGGCTTCTACAACATGTTAACAGAAGAGCAGTTTACCTTCCCCAAAGGGGGGTGGACATCAAAGAAGAAGGTCCGATTAATGTAGTAACTTCCCATCTTCCCAAAATGAGTTTCATCCCAACTAGAAAAAGAAACACCAAACAGCCTGCTATAATGCTGAAGATAGTAAAAAACATCCAGGAATGTCCTTTTACTCATGCTTTTCACCATACAGATGGTTAGTGCCACACGTCCCGTACGGGACAACGCACTGAATTAACTGGGAAATCACGGAGAGCGCTTCAGCCACCGGAGGCAGGGTCCTTCTTGAAGCGCTTGGCACCGCACTCCAAAACCTCCAGCCTGCCCTTCTCCCGCCAGGCTGAGCCCAGGGATGCTACAAAACCAGGCAGCAGACCCCCGGATCCCCCTCCCCGAGACCCGGTCCCCTCTCCGCCACGCGTCCCG